ACCAAGTCTAAAATGCCACAAATCAAACATATTCTTATTATGTGTCTTAGAAACAAAAGTTGAATTACAAACAGAATTGGAATGAGATACACAAGGATTATGCATCAAATAAAGGTGTTGGTTAGCTTTAGCAAGCCCAATCATTCGCTGGGTAGTTGGGTCCTGCATGACACATAAATTCTTGTCAAAAATTAGCTTGCAATCTAAAGCTTCACTAACCTTTTGAACAGAAATGATGTTATATTTGAAATCTGGTATATAAAGTACATTATCAAGACAAAAAAATGTTAGGAAAAGTGACAGTTCTAGAGATATGTGCAACAGAAAAATTTCCATTTGGAAATTTAATTTGAATAGGATTTATAAATTGATATTTACTAAAATAACTCAAAGAACTGCATACATGTTCAGTAGCTCCAGTGTCCAGAATCCAAATACTGGGTAGGAGAAGATCACCTGTTTTATGCTGCTGTTGGTGGGTAAACTGAAGGATTGTTTCATCATTGTCCTTATGAGTTAATTGGTTAACCGTAGGCCCCTGAGGTTGCTGATTGGCTTTCTTGATCATATCAAGAAGTACATTGAACTGTTCTTGGCTAATACTAACAAGAGAATCTTTGTAATTACTATTTGAACCCACATTTTCTTGCATTTCAGGTGTCTTGCTTGTGCTAAGGTTATTAACAACAGATTGCACGTTTTTATTTTTGAACTTAAAATTTGGTGGAAAGCCATGCTTAAAATAGCAAGTATCTACAGTGTGGTTTTCCTTACCGCAAAAGCTACAAACCTTATTGGGTGTGTTACTTCGACCAAAGGATCTGTTTCTACTTTTGCTAGCAAATCCTCCACCTTTCCCAACAAAATTCCCTTTCCAATTATTAGCAGTATCAGTGGTGGCTGCAAGAACTCTTGATTCTTGGATGATTGGATTGCTCAATTGTCTTTCTTGTTGGAGAGCATGAGAAAAGGCTTTATTTATGGAAGGAAGCGGCTCCATCATCAAAATTTGACTCCTCACTGTGTTGTATTGATCATTAAGACCCTTGAGAAATCAAATAACATACTCAACTTCTTTATTCCTTTTTACAGTGCTAGCAAATTTGCAGCTGCATTTGACGTTGCATGTGCAGGAAGGTGTTTCTCTGAGGACTTCCAATTCCTCCCGTAGAGTCTTCAATTCAGTGTGATATGTAGACACAGATCTATCACCTTGTTTAATGGAATGAATTTCTTGAAGAAGGTCAGAGATTCTAAAGTAATCACCCTTGGAGAATCTGTCCTTGAGATCTTCCCATAAATCTTGTGCACTCTCAAAATAGACTATACTTTGAGCTATTTCTTGTGACAGGGTTCTTGTGATCCACCCAAAAACAGTGGTGTTACATCTGACCCAAGAATCATAAAGATGATGTGAAGTTCCTGGGTTCTTGATGCTTCCATCTACAAACTTGAATTTATTCTTTGATTGGAGTGCCCTCTTCATGTTTCTGTACCATGTGTGATAATTTGTCCCATCGAGACTTGGAGTAGCAATAATGGCACCTGGATTCTCTCCTGGGTGGAGATAATAAGGATTTGAGGATGGATCAGCATTATTGTTGGTGCCTCCATTCTGGTTTTTGGTTGGTTGATCTTCGATTCTTTCTTCTTCAGCCATGAATGCGGAAATACGTGGCAGAGCTCTCACAGGGAGAGCTCTGATACCATAAAGGATTATGACAGTACGTAGAAGAGAAAGCAAAAGAAAATTACTTCTTGTATGTTCATCATATTCGTATACACCAATAGAAGGACTATATATACAAGAGCTAAAACTCCTAATGGAATAACTAATCCTAACAGAATCTAATTAACAGAAATATCAAAATAAAATAATAAATAATAAAATAACAAAATACTTAAACTACTAACTACTTTACTTCTATATTTCTTTTCTCTATTTTCTCCAATACCTACTTCTTGCTTTAACGTTGTTTGTGTTATGTTTGATACATATGTTGACAATTTATTTTTAACATGACACGTCTCCCTGTTGTCATTCTTACTTCTCGCTTTAATGTTACTTCAATATTATTTTTGTGCTATGTTTGATAGACATGTTGTCAATCTGTTTCACAACACGTTGCCCCATTACTCCTCCCTTCAACGTGACTTCAACGTTATTTTTGTGCTTCTTTTTTTTTTTTTTATAGATATGCCGACAATGTATATTGAACAAGACACGTGCATGCATGTAAAGTAAAATTGCAATGATACATTGTATCCTCTCGTGAAGCACATTGCTTATGCTATGTTATTTTGAAAGAATTGAAGATGAGATTTGAATGCAGAAGCTAGTACACGACCTCTGTAGTCCCTGATCAATACCACCCAAAACTGTAGAAAAAATAAGAGAGACGAGGTAATACTAATATTGTGGGTGAACGTAGCAACTCACTGTGTTTTTTTATTGAATAAAAGACCTTTAAATAGCCATTTTACAACGTACTGAACTAACAAGAAGATAATAAAATATCTTATCAAATCAAAACTTATCAAAAAACTATCTTATCTAATCTGAAACAAAATAACTCAAAAGATAAATCAAATAATTCCAGATAACTTAAATCGGATATCTCGGATATCTCGGAATCTCTAGAAATTTAAGATTTTCCAATAAAAACCACCACGTATGGTTCTTCCGTGCAGAATCATAATTATATATTAAATGCATGTATATAAGGGTGTGCCTGGTAGTAATATTGTTATTTATGCAGATTCTTAAATTACGAGTAGGTGGTGTAGTTCAGTACTCTTCCATTAAAGAAAAGACACGTAGCTGTTTAAGTTTAATCATTCCTTTTAGGCACGTAATGTGGATCATCTCTCATGTATGGAAAAATTGGGGTAAAACATAATTTGGGTGTTAGAAAGTGCATGGAGGTGATACTTAATTTGGTATTTGATGAAAGCATAGAAATTCAAAAAAGCCCTCAAATTTACTTTAATCAAACTAAAAAAAAATGTAACTTAATAAAACATTATTTAAAGATTAAAATAATAGTAAGTGACTATATATATTTAGGGAGTTATTGGATATCTCTATAAATTGAGGAGTTTTGAAACAAACTTTAAGATTAATAAAAATATTATTAATTGTTATATAATTAATCGTTATGTCCTCAAAGTTGAATGATTCATTAAGAATTGAGAGTTGAGAATTGAGAGCAATAATCAGTTTGGAATATTTTTTTTTCTTTCGTTTTTCTTTGATTATATATTTCTTTGACAATTTATTAAGAATCATATATGGATGTTCAATCAGAAAGTCAAAGCAAGTTCAAGTGTTGTAGTTTAACAAAATAACTGTCCGATTATACATTAAAAACCGTAATTTTATTTTGATTGGAAAAAGAAAGAGTTAATTCTATGAGTAATTTGTATCATAGTGTGCTATGATAAGTACAAAATATTTGAGTGAAAAACTAGTAATCAACTTTTTAAATGAACACATAATAATTTTATTACGAAAAGGTAAAAATATAACATTGGAGAAAGTGAAATATTAATGGTCTAAAAGTTAGTTGCTTCAAAACTTGTTAAATTTTGAAGGGTACAATACAATTTCTCTATATTTTAAAATTTAATTAAAAAAAACTCTCAAATATATATATATATATATATATATATATTTATTTATTTATTTTTAACTTTTAAGGACTAAAATGACGGTAACATAGTTTTAAAGACCGAATAGTATTTGAAAATTTTCAATAGAAAAGAAATACATAAAAAAGAAAGTTGAATGATAGAAAAAAAAAGTCTAATATGATATATGATATTTCAACTTTTTAAGAAAATTTCAATTATACTGCTAAAATAAACAAAAATTATAATGAGCCTTTCATCTTTTTATATTTTTGCAATTTACTTTATAGAGTTGAAAATTCATTTCCAAACTTGTATTATAAAATATTTCTTATATCTTTATACTTAGAAAGTTACATCAAATTATTATTCATTTTATTATGTATATGTATCAAATTTTAATCCCTACATATTAGATAAGTAGGGATTAAAATTTAATATATATATATATATATAGAGATAGTAATCTAGTGTAGTTATATAGATGTGAAAATATAATAAATATTTTATAAAATTTTATGAATTGTAAATCAATTTCTAACCATATAAACTAAATTATAAAAATATAAAAGATAAAGGACTCACAATCACACTTTTTTTAGTTTAAGAATTTAATTATTTTTTTTAAAAGATAATTATATCAAATGATGTACTAAAAAAAACAATTAACATATTCATCATTGTCTTTGTGTGAGAATCTCTCCAATAGAAAATTTTCCGTATTGCAAAAGATACACAACTTTCAGCCAAGAGGAAGGCAATAGAGAAAAGCAAGTTCCAACTCTCCAAATTAAAGAAACCTCATCTACGTCACATCCTGCATAAGGAGCTGATCCATGCTGCTCCCTAATCTCTATCTTTGTTTTATGCTAATTTTTCTTCATTTCTTTTCTTTCACCAAAATGGATTTCATTTTGATTTACTACTATGCTAAATTTGCTATTTCAATTCTGGTCTTTGTTCCTGACTTTGGCCTAAGGATGCAAACTTCAGAGGTGAATCAATGGGCCTCCCCGAATAGTGTGCAAAGTAATGTTTACAAAAATTATTCAAATTTAATTTAAAATATAGATAAAAAAAATATATATATATAAATGCAAGGTGGTTTGAAACACTTGAGAGAGAAAAATAGTTATGAAATGAACGAGTAAATGTACTTAAAAGAGAAAGAAGACATCACACTTGGAACAAAAGATAAACTAATTTAATTTTTTTATGTGCGTCTGGTACATTAGTTGAGGATGCATGTAAGTTACTAAACTCAAAGAAGAGAAAACACATAGTGGGGATTAGAGAGAGAATGAAGAGGAGAGAGTTGTTCACTAACTTTTTTTAGAGTACTCGGTATTTATTAACTTATACAAAGATATAGTCTTTTTATTATAAGCTAGATTTAATCTTTTTAAAATAATGAATGTTTTTAATGAACTTAAATTTGTTTCAGTAGATTTATTTATATGAAAGTTATTGTATAATTGAAGTTTAAATAAAAAAATATTTGATTCATTAATGAAAAAAGATTTTTAAAATTGATTATTTTAGATTTTTAAAATCAGTTGTTTAACTAATTTCAAAAAAGTTAATTATGTAAATTTATAGTTTTAAAATGAGCTCGAGAATCAATTTTAAAAGTTTTACATCTCCTCCACAACCCCACCATCTTCTTCTTCTCCTATTTCTTTCACTCCTATGCAATTTTCTCATGAAGGAACACAATGTTCACTGTGACAAAATATATTAAACACTTAACATGCATATATCAAAAATCAAAAACCAAACTCAAACCCCAAACAACCAATTAAATCACATAAAAGTAAACCAAAACCCAAACTCAAACCCTAAACAACCAATTAAATCACATAAAAATAAGTCTAAAAATAATTTAAAAATTCAACTAATCTAATTTCATGTTATTTTCTAATTATCAGTAAAATATATTTTTTACATTATTTTTGTTATATTTATAGTCATTTTGGATTTAAATATCAATTGAATTTTATAATTCTCATATAGTTAAATCTATTGTTTTGAGTTTCACGCGTTTTGAATTAATCAAAAATTCAAAATTATGTCAGAAAATTGAAAATGATGTATATTTTTTTAAAATGCAAAAGTTATTAACAGTTCAAAATGCAACATTTACAATGTTTAAACAATGTTGTTTTTAACCTTTTTTCTTGAAAAAAATATTTTAATTGTTTTTTTTTAAATAATGTTTGTAACCTAAACTAGTTTAGTGATTCATCAATTTTTAGAAGAAGAAAAACACATCGATTTGATCTGGTTCAACTACATGCTCGATATCTAATAAGCAAACTTTTTCTTATATAGGAACTTTTAGTTGGATGGGTCAAACCGATTCATCCAATGCTAGTTTTTCACAATACTACTTCAAACCTTTCTTAAATGACGTGAGTTTGATTGCATTCGTATCAATGACATGTTGGTCTAATATCAGTTTGGTGATTGTATATATCTTTCTAATCTAGAGGAATTTTACATTTGATGTCATAATAATTTCCTTAAGTTGATATGTCTACTAAGCCAAATTTTATGATCATAGAAAATGTCGAACTCACATCAATAAAACTCTAAAATGACATTTCCTTTTGACTCGATTTTTTTTATACTTATCATTTAGGAAAGATACAAAAACTTCATGATAACAAATATTCTCTAAAATTTTGCTTAAACTCAAACCAATAACTAATGATAGAAATATGATAGATATTTCCTGTTTCCTACTTAGATGAGTTAATTGCCTTACTTTTTATGAGAAATGCAAGTTGAAATTGAATCTCATATCATTTGTGTCAATTCACGATCTAATTTGTCACATGATAGAGTATTAATTTTTTAAACTCTTAAAAAAACTTATTTGTTAGTTAAATTTATGATTAAATAATTAATAAACAATATAATCAATTTCATGGTGGAATCGATTCCACGGGGTCAAAATATTTAATTTAATTATTGAGTGAGGTAGTGGCAGACAGAGAACAGTCCAAAATTTTATCCAAAACCAAACCTGTTTGTTGGGATTTTGAAACCAACCCAACTTCATGGGATGGTTTGGACACAAGTAAGTCGTTAAGTTTATCACGAAGTTGCGACACTTAATGCCCAATTGTTATTCTTATCTTAAAATTGTAGAATAAGTTTCACACGTCTATATTCGGCTAATCATTATATGCATTCCACGCAATGGATTTTTTATTTTCCATTTGCGTATAAAACAAAAATAAAATCATGGGGATCTAGTTGACGTTGAGGGGGCTTGACTCCTCTTTAAAATTTTAACTTTATATTTACATGTTACTTTTTCAACGATCATAATCTTGTAATAAGCCCCATTCAACGTTTTATCTTTCTCATCTAGCAATCCCAAATGAATATTGCACAAGTATACACCAAACATATATACATTTCGCAAGTTATTATTATTATTATTATTATTATTATTATTATTTATTATATAAATCACATATATTTTTTTTTGCAAGAAATAATTTTACTTGAATATATTGAGATGTACCAAGTCCAATAATACTGGACATGAAGATATTTTAAGAAAAATGCAAGTCTCACGTTAATTAGAGATCATTAAAAATGATCACCATCATTCCTTTACGTATCAAATTTAATAATGTTAAATGTGAAAAGGTGTATTGAAAAGAATTTAATATTCTCATCAACTAAAAAATAAAATACAAGTAACACAGGTGTGAAGTTTGATCAAATTAAATAGTGTAATTTGTTTCTGTTCACGGTGGAAGAATTTTTTACATAAATAATATTTTTTTTTAAAAAAATTACAAAAGTAACATCTGTACAACATTATTTACTCAACTAGAATCAATCACTGTTCATGCTTAGAATTCGGTTTCCGGGGAACCGAATTCTAAGTTGTTTTTAATTTTTTTGCGTTTCTGAGAAGTGGAACGGGCCGTTCCAAAAGCACAAATAGAGTGTTATTTTTTAAATTGGAACGGCCCGTTCTGTACCCGTTCCAATTTCAAAAATAATACTCTATGTGTTTAAGTAGAACGGGCCGTTCTGCTTCCGGAACGGCCCGTTCCACTTCCCAGATTTGCCCAAACTGGGCCTCAAACGCAAAAAAAAAAAAAATTAAAACAACTCAGAATTCGATTCCTCGGGAACCGAATTCTGAGCACACAAAAAAAGGAAAAAAAAATATTGAAACTCAGAATTCGGTTCCCGGGGAACCGAATTCTGAGCATGAACAGTGATTGGTTCTAATTGAGTAAATAAAGTTACACAGACGTTACTTTTGTAATTTTTTAAAAAAAAATATTATTTACGTAAAAAATTCCACGGTGGAATTGATAGGCAATTGTGTTGCATCGGTAATTGTGTTGCATTGGTAATTGTGTTGCGTTGATTGTCAATTGTTTTAAGCAATAGTGTTCTGTTTGTTTGAAATATTTCAGTACTAGAAATAGGTTAGTAGTTGGAAGAAGTTGGAGTAAAAGTGAAAGGATCGACTAAGATTCGATTCTCGTTTCGGTTTTTATTATTTTCTATAAATTAAATAAAATATTTTTAATAATTATATTATTAATACAAAATATTCATAATTCATGATCACTAATCTCCGTTAAAAATATTTTCATAATAAAATTAAATACAAATGATACACACATATACAGGGACAGATCAAATGATTATGAAAATAATTATTGATAAAGTTATTTTACTTAATAAATCATGATGTATGTTAAATTTTAATAATTTAAATGTTAAATTAAAAAATTTTAATATATAAATTAAGTTTATAAATTTTAAAAATTATATGATACTTCTGTTAATTCAAATCAACAAATAATCTTAATAACCTTTTATACATTAATTTGAACATATGTAATGAATATTTAAATTTAAATTTTTCTTTCAAAAATTATAATCTTAATTTATATAATAAGAACTTTTAATTTAATAATTAAATTAGTAAAATTTAACTTATATAATAAATTATTGAATAAAATAACTTAAACATAAACTATTTTTGAAGTGATTTGATCTTTGATATATATATATATATATATATATATATTAGATTTTAATAATTAAAATCTTCACATGGTGACATCGAATGACTAGGCACTTTTTTGTTCCCCGTGGTTACCGTATTCGGCAGTAATTTCGAACCATTCATGCATGCATATGTCATAAAATGTGACAAACCCTTCGATCATTATTTAACTTGTATAACGTTACGAATTATGATAAATAAAAAATGTATCTATTTTTAAGATACTTTTCACACGTTAAAACAATGGTTTGAGCATTTAATAAATAGATGTGACAAGCAAGGCTAGTTAAAATTTTCTCTTAATTTACTTGTTCCAGGGTTAATGACTTAACTTTGTGTGAACACTGAACAGAAGTGGATCAGAGAGACCCACAGATTATTTATTTATAATTTAAATATATTTTTAATCTCTCAAATTTAAAATAAATTTATTTTTAATTTAAAATTAATATTTTTAATTTTTATAATTTTAAAAAAAATTATTTTAGTTTTTATATTCAAATTTTGTTAAAAAACTTATCAAATATTACTACATAAAATTTATATATTAATGTCTTGGTTAATGAAAATATCACATTAAATTCAATTGATGTTGTATAACATCTTAATTTGTTACTTTCAAATATGTTATTAATAATTTGAGAGACAAAAATAAGATTTTTAAAAGTTACAGGAATTAAAAATAATAATTTTAAATTTAAAAAACTAAAAATAAATTTCTTAAATTTAAGAAACTAAAAACATATTTAAATATTTATTTATTTATTTTAATTATAACTTTTCTGTAAAGTATTCACTATCAAAATAATAAGTATTTACCGTTAAAAATCATAAACATACATAAAATGAGTATTATTTTTTAAATATAATTTAATTTATACTCAAGTTAAAATTTAAATTTTGAACGATTTTATTAAGAAATACAAGTAATAATCACTTAACACAATCAATTTGACCACATGATTAAAAATAATAATAATAATAATAATTGGGTCATTCAATGCTCTGGATGAGATTCTTACCCACTCCCCCAACAACATAAAGATTCTGAAGAAATGGAGAAGTATAAAAAGGGAAAGGCATGCCTCAAAGTGACACTGAGAAAACAACACAAACAATCTCTTGTCCGCAACTATAACCTATTATTGACGCAGACTGCACCATTTCCTAAGGTTCAAGTTTCCTCATCATATCAAATTTTCAAAACACCCTTTTCAATTCTCATCTCCCTTCACACACACACTACCAAATTTGCTCTAAGAACAATATAGAAAAATCTATTCCCTATCAAAGTCCCTCACAGAAGTTGAATAAGAAGGACAATAAATGGGGATTCATATCTCACAACATGTGCTAGTTTCTTTGGAAACTCACCCTCTTTAGTCTATTTCTTCTTCAGCCATAGCCTTCACCTTTACATCAAAGATAGCTACATTTTTGCTGTATATAAAGAAACCAAAGCAATATAGCCTCTAACCACAAAAGACTCACTAACCAACAACATAAATGTTTTCAACATCAACCATCATGAGGATTAGTATTATTTCTATTGCTCTTTTCCTCACAACTCAACTTCTTGTGAGAGCAGAATCAATAAGCAGAACAGATTTTCCAAAGGGGTTTATCTTTGGAACTGCTTCTTCAGCTCACCAGGTATGCATCTCAGTTTTCCTTCTATGTGTTTTTATCTTTCTGTCGCTATTTTCTTATCAGATATAAAAGTTTGTCTCTATAATCTATGTTAGCCTTTAATATTGTTGGTATGGAAATATGAATAAGAGTTTTACATTGAATAAAATTAAATATGTCGAATAACATATAAGAGAGAAAAACCTGTTAACATTATACTTTTAAATTTTGAGTTAAAATACAGTGTCAAATTCACTTCTGATTTGTTTTTTCCCGTTTAGAGAATGTTCCCAATGTTTAAGCCTTCTACCTTTTGTGTTCCTCACAATATAAATCTTGTGTTCTTAACAAGATGAAATTCTAATTCTGTATTGGTTTATTAAAGAAGCAAACAATGGTACAATGTTTTATGTTGCATGTTTCATGTTATAGTTTGAGGGAGCTGTTGATGAAGGAAATAAAGGAGATAGCATATGGGATACTTTCTCAAGGATACCAGGTAGGTAGTCATGAAATTTACAAGTGGAGAAAAACAAAAGGATCAAATATTCAAAATCAAAATTAATTAAGGGTAGATTTTAAGTAGTGGAGAAATTTCTCATTTCTAGTTTTGCATTATGATGATAGGGAGAATTTTGGACTTCAGCAATGCAGACATGGCAGTGGATCAATATCACCGATTTCAGGTGAACTAGGAGAACACATTTGTTGACTTCAACTTTACTTTATCCAAATCACTTGCTTCAATTTTCTTTTTCTGCTTCAATTGATGTGCATGTGACCAATATCCATATTGAAATGCTTAGGATTAGAATATTGTATAAATTGTAAACAATTCGAATGAGCACCGCCAAGGTGACGATGATGATAACATTTCACCAACCTTGGGGAATAAAAAATGTGTAAAAGTAACACATGACTTAAAGTTCCAAAGTTGCAAAAGATCTTTTAACTATATAATAATACAGTACCTATTGCATTTTTTAATATAAAGAGCACAACACTTTGTTAATTGTGATTGATTTCATTTCTTTTTTAATAAAACTGTTATGTTGATTGATGTGACTTCAGTTTTGATTTGTTTTTTCAAAATGTATTGATAATATAACTTTTTATTTTATTTTATAATGTTATCCAATTATAAACTAAGATATATGATAAAATTGTTGATTTTTGTTATAATTAATAACTACTAAAGATTTATATTTAGAGTAGTTTTTAATTAGTAACTGTATTAATGTTTATACTAACGGTGTATGAGAATTCTTGTTTTTCTTTCTTCTCTAATCATTTCACTTAACTTCACTTAAAAGTGAAAAAAATAAAATTTCCACATTGAAGCTCGTACAAATTCCATTTCATACAGAATGATATAAACTTGATGAAGGATTTGGGAATGGATTCTTACAGATTTTCCATATCATGGCCGAGAATTTTCCCAAGTAAGTTTTGGTATTTTCAAAACTGTTTGATTTTTGTATAGCTTAGTCTTTGTCAATGCTAACTGAATTTGTGAACAGATGGAACAGGGGAACCTAATAAAGAGGGGATAAAATATTACAACAGCCTCATTGATGCTTTACTTGAAAAAGGTTACCCCCGAAGAATTTATTCGAGAATTTGATCTTCAAATAAAGTTTAATCATCATACACTATTAATGTAAACATAATTTGCACCGACAATCAAGCAAAAATTATTGATACAACTTATAAAAATTATCATAAAAATTAATAAACTTATTATACATATTTGTAATTGAGTGATGTTACAATTAATAGTGTATAACCTTTTTTCTCCTTCAAATATGATATAAAAAAAAAAAGCATTAAAATTTTAGCTCTTCTTTCCCATCAGGAATCCAGCCTTTTATAACACTATATCATTGGGATCTTCCACAGATGCTTGAAGATAAATATGAAGGATGGTTAAGCACACAAATCATGTAAGTTACTCCAATTTTATGTACTTCTTTTGATACAAATTGGTTGAGTTTCATCTTCACCCTCTATTTACTCACAGAAAAGATTTCGAGCATTATGCCTATACATGCTTCCAAGCTTTTGGAGACAGAGTAAAGCACTGGATTACCTTCAATGAGCCTCATAACTTTGCACTCCATGGTTATGATTTAGGCATCCAAGCACCAGGAAGATGTTCCCTGCTTGGTCGTCTTCTATGTAAGAAGGGAAAATCCTCCACTGAGCCATACATTGTTGCTCATAATATTCTCTTATCACATGCTGCTGCCTATAGAAGTTACCAACAACATTTCAAGGTTCCAAATAGATCATCTTCACAACTCATAAAAATATAAGAAGCTAAACCTATACTTAGATTCTTGGGATTGTAAGTTTAGTCCTTGGTTTTACAAAACTTCTACTTTAGTAGCTAGCTTTACAAAATGTTGCAAAACTCATATGCTTTAGCATGTGTTTGGGACTGTGTTGCATACCCATGTTAACATTGCGTAAACTATAATGGGTGTGTTCTCTAATAATGAATTTAAACTTACCTCAACTCTTCAAAATCAAGTTATAAGTTGAAGATTGTCCTAACTTATATACTCTATTTTAGTTTTATATTTCTTATAAACTATTTTTTTAGTTGGGTTAAACTCAAATCTACTTTCTGAATAACTTCGAAGTTTAATACATATATTTCTTTATGTAAATGTTGTTCCAAACACTCAATCATTCTTGCCACATTTTTCCGTTGACACTAATGAGTAACAACTAAAATAAATGATATTTTGCATGGAAAGATAAAGACTAAAGTGGAAGTTTTGAAAAGTTAAGGACTATGATTGGCACTAGCATATTAGGGACTAAAGTAGATATTTACTCAATAAAACAATCACTAAACATCTATAGAGAGCTAAAAATGTCAACAATAATTTTTTTTATTGGATGGAGAATTCAGGAACGACAAGGAGGTCAAATTGGAATAGCACTAGATGTCGTTTGGTATGAACCCATAACAGAACTTGATGAAGACAAAGATGCAGCAGCAAGAGCTATGGACTTTTCCCTTGGATGGTAAGTTGGTAACCTTTTTTGTAGCATAATGATTATGATGAAATTTTATATATAGCTTAATGACAACAATTGAGAACTCATCTTCCACACAAAAGAAGTGTAACACCAATGTGAATCAGGTTTCTTGACCCGCTTTTCTTTGGAAAATATCCTCCCTCAATGAAAAAACTTGTAGCTGAGAGATTGCCAGAGATTTCTGATGCAACCTCAAACTTCCTTGTGGGATCTTTGGATTTTATTGGCATAAATCACTACACCTCAGTGTATACTCGTAACGACAGGACTCGAATTCGTAAATTTGTTATGCAAGATGCTGCTTCTGATGCTGCTGTCATTACAACCGGTAAGCTATTAATGCTAATTGTGACCACTTTTTTTCTTCTTTGCCTTGAACAAGCATAACTCAAGTTCAATAGAGGTTTCTGATATTTGCTCTTGTTCTTCATCCTAGCATACCGAAGAGGAGCAGCAATTGGAGAAAAGGTAAGCTCGGAAAATCACTATAGGGTGTGTTTGGATTAATAGAGAAAGATGGAATGGACTCAAACATTATGGAATGATGTTAGCTTGGTGGAAAACCACTGTTGTTTGGTAGTCTAAAATATGACAGAATGGAATGAAAACATATACCCAATTTTTTCTTTTTTCATGTTGTCATAAAATATCCAACCAAATGGACAACACAATGGTAACTAAATTCTACTTTACTCCATTTCATTCTTTTTGTCACTATGAATCCAAACATGGCCTAAGGCTACAATGTACATTATTTACATAATACATTTCATGTTAAATCAATAATTCTTCTTTCTCAGGCAGCTTCAAGTTGGCTACACATTGTTCCATGGGGGATCCGAAAGTTGGTAAAACATGTGAAAGACAGATATGGGAACACGCCAGTAATTATAACAGAGAATGGTGAGTGGTTTTATGGTTGGGAAACTGTTGAAATTATATAGTTCTATATAGATGGACGATAAGAGATAAAAGAAGTATTACAATGTATTGATATATTCATGGAACCTATGGCACTAAATACTAACCTTATGCTAATCATAATTCTAGCAAATTAGGAAAACAGATCATGATAAGATGAAGAAATACGATAATTAATCTTGAGAGTCATAAAGAAGAAATACAGAAGCTAATTCCAGAGAATAATTCAAGACATTCTAAAATAGTAAAATATGATTAGACATTTTGACATGATCTAGCAGAAACTAACCTGATCTCAATTCTCAAGTGAATCCATAAATTTTTTAACATCTATTAGATTTATGATGGCAGGAATGGATGACCCAAGCAAACCCTTTATGACCTTAGAGAAGGCCTTAAAGGATGACAAAAGGATAAGGTACCATAGAGACTATCTCTCAAACCTATCTGCTGCTATAAGGTATTATAGCAATTCCTTGAATTTCTGCTTCTGGGTTATGTTACATTGTTACATTACATGCTAATGCTAGCCATCTTAATCCTATGACATAATATGAATTTTCAATACAGGCAAGATGATTGCAATGTACGAGGTTACTTTGTATGGTCATTACTTGACAATTGGGAGTGGAACATGGGATACACCGTACGCTTTGGACTCTACTATGTTGATTTCAGGAACAATCTTACTAGGATACCGAAAGATTCGGTGCAATGGTTCAAAAATGTACTCAGATTAAAGACAGAAAAGAGTAGTGAAATTTGAATCGCTTTGTCTTGCACACATCAAAGGCATTTTGTAATTGTAAAGTTCTTAGAAAAATTATTGAATGAAATGACATCCACAATGGAGTTAACATGAAGTTATTCATTTTAGTTTTGCCTTTCACGTGGCTAAACTTGAGTTTATTTTGATGCCATGGAATTCGAAATTGACACTAAAAAGGAAGAGAGAAGAGGGTAGATAAGGTGTCATTCCTATCATTCATCTCAAGTCTGGGAAATGGATCCTCTACAGTGACATTACCATTGTACAAGATTCTAGCCATTTATTAAATTTCATTAGTGTAATATATTTTCATCATAAAATGAAAATTTTAAAAAATAAACGGTACTAGACTACTAGTATCAATTACAATGAAGTATCAAATTTTTAAAAGAGATTAATATTCATCTTCTATTGGAATATTTTCTTCTAATAAAAAAAAATTGTTAATAATTTTTACATTACATAATTAAGTAACATTTTTCCTTTTAAATTTAAAGAAGTCGATGACATACTTCACGTAAGTAATAATATATTTGACTTCCTTTCACTATATTAGCATAAAAAAGTATTTTATGTCTTCATGTATTTTTAAAATTTTAAAATAAAAGTGAGTCATTAATAATTTAAAAAATAAAAAATAAGATAAAGTAATTTATTAAGGATATGAAAATTTTTAAGTAGTTGTAAGAGTAGTTTTGAGCTATTTTAAAAAGTAGGAAAAAGAAAAAGTAAAAACTAAATAAAAAATGATAAAAAAAAAATAATTTAAGAGATAGTTATAAGGAGAAAACATCCAAATAATATGAACATGAAATGAGGTAATTTTCATTATTAATGGTATAGATAAGGATTAGATTCAAGTTTAATAATTAGTCCCATAGTACAAAATTAAAAAAAAAAATGTTTTATGCTTACTAAAATAGACGTTTTATTAGTCCAAACTTACTAAACTGATCATGAATAAGAATATATGATCCATAAGATTAATTACAAGACAAAATTCGTCGGACTAATGTGATAAACTATTTATAAGTCTAAAAAATGATTTATCAGATTGAACACAAAATTTGAGTTACTATAAATAGGATTTAATACTGAACATGAATAAACAATCTATAAGACTAATGAAATAGAGATTAAACCTACAAGGCTAAATAAATATGATCCATAAGATTATAAGACGAAACTCAACACACTGATGAGACTCTAACTAATCTGTTGTAATACTGAATCTGACTGAGCACATAAGATTATAAAATGAAATCTAACGTACAATGAGAGAAGTATTCATATAAAAAAAATTCGTTTAAATGAGAATATAAAAAAGGGACACTCTTGACTTGCAAATATTTGTTTATAATAATTAAATCATATACATAAAATATTTATACATATTTTTATAAAAAAAAATCTAAAATTTATATTTATAAATATAATTAATAAAATATGGATATTAATTAATGATACCCGTATACAGTACGGGTCCTACACCTTATTTTTTATGATCCTAAATTTTATATTCAACTTATTTTTTTTATCACACCACTCGTAAAACTTTTCTCTCTTCTTATTTTTCTTTAGCTCTAATGGGTGTATACCATTTTGGCATTTTCGTTACAAACAATTTTTATTCAAAAACTAAAGATAGCACAAACTAAAACAAACATTAAATTAAGAGTGAAAAGCAAAAGAAACTTAAAAATGTTATTAAATTTCTTGGTATATTAAAAATAAAAATTTTAAAATGCATTTGATGTAACGACCCGTCAGGTCTCATACTGTCTATAGCGTCCAAATACAAGTATAAAATAAAATCTCACTACTAAACAATTATATATATATTAAAGATACACAACTAAAAAAATCTCATACTATATAGCTCGGCCTGACCCCTATACCGTGGTCGCTTCATACACGAGTGCCTCGACCTTGGCCACACGGGACCAACCAAGTTCTAGAGGAGAAAAACACATCATCCACTCCAAGGGACAACTTTTCAAGGAGGGTTTTCAAATAAATTGAGCTCTCAGAGCACCACAACTATCTCAATCCGCACAATGGGATGAGTAACTTTAAAAACTTCTCATCTAGTCCTAGTGATCAACAACTCATCACAACACAATCACATAGCTCAACTATCAACTCATTCATACAACATTATATACAACTTGAATGTAACAACCCATGCAACATCAACTAATGCGTCGTCACACATATACAACTAGGAGATCTCCAACAACTGAGGTTGAGTAGTCTATGTGGCATAAACCCTACCAAATCCAACGTTTGACCTATCTTAACCAGGTCAGGTATAGAACATCGTTAGGAACTCCGAAGAGAACCAGGTATAGACAACAATAGGCGATTTCTCAAGTGTGCCACTTAGACTCGGAGGTCCAGTACTACTGTCAGGACAGAAGGGTTTGGGTATAAGCCTACCACGGCCTTGGCTAGCATCACCAATCCACATATGGAGTTAGCCCACCCACTATCCTCCAAGTACCATGCACCCTCCAATACCTAGTCAAAGACTACATCTCTAACTAGATACCTTACTCAAATTGGTCATTCAACCATGACATGGATCGACTACTTCCATGTCGCCCACACAGTATTAAGGGATTCAACTTTAAAACAACTTTCAACTTAATTATCTCCTTAGTACTATGTATCTCAACATAGGACATATATCTTCACCATATGTCCCCAACTTTTCAACTTCACAACAATAAGCAGCTTTACAACTTTCTAACAACAGACAACTTTTTACAACTTTACAACTATAGGTATCATAACAACTTCACAACTATAGGCATCATAACAACTTCACAACTATAGGCATCATATATAACAACTTTACAACTATAGTCATTTGTCTCAACTTCAGCAACTTTAAGGCAACTTTCAACTTTACAGCAATAAGCATCTTTATGCTACTTAATTAAACAACTAGAGCAACTATAGTCAACATAATATCAACTTTACAACAATGAACTACTTCAACTTATACATCTCAACTTATTAATAATTCAACAATAAACAACATAAAAATAACTTAGTTTCACCAAATACACAACATATAACAACTTTTACAACAGATCACATTTTATCAACACACAACATATAAACAACTTAAGTCAACAATTACCCAACTCATCTTCATCAGGCGACTTAGCAAATTAACCACGTTATAAACAACTTCTAAAACACAAGAACAGCTACATGCAACCACTAATTTAAATCAATCATCTCTTTTTCTTTCAAACAACAAAACCCAACTTTTTAACTCAATCCGCACCAAACAACTCAACCATTGCATGAAGCTTCCCTAACCTGAAGATTGACTCTAAAAGCCAAGAATCTGAGAGGAAGAAGAAGAAAAAGAAGAAATATCTAAGCTCGACTCTTGAACTTCAATCCTCCCAAAAGTAAGCTTTCTAGTCTGAAATTCAAGGGAAGACAGAAGAATTAATGACCTAGAGGAGAAGAAGAGTTATACAGAGAAAGTTGAGAGAGAAACAAGCTCACCGACCCAGAGTCCTTTTTTTTTCTAGAACCTCTCTCTAAAACCTCTCCTCCTCATCTGCACATAGGTCCTATTTATAGAAGTCCAGGAGTGGCCAGAATGGCCCGTTTCGAATCCGGAACCGCCGTTTTGGACTCCTTTATCATGTATAAAATTCACATGCAGAACGGTCTGTTCTAAAACCAGAACGACCCATTCTAGCACGTCTAGAACGGCCCGTTCTAGAGTTAAATTTAACTCACAACAACCACATTTGGAACGACCCATTCTAGTCTAGGATTTACAAGCTTATTTAGTAGTCTGGAACGGCCCGTTCCAGTTTGGGAACTACCCATTCTGGGCTACTAAATCACCCTTCTTTTAGTAAATCGAAACGGCCCGTTCCAATTTTGGAACGCCCCGTTCCAGTCTACCAACTACGTTACATTTGACACAAGTTTTTATAAAAAAATACAATAGTAGTAAAATAACTTAAAGATTACTTTCTTTGTTTCTCTCTCACAAAAAAAAATATATTTTCTTTATATTCTTTCATAAAATAAAAATTTGTAAAATAATTTTTTTCCACTTTTAATGATTTAAAATTATTAAAATCAACGATTAAATAACTTTATTTATAAAGTTCTTTATCATCTTTCGATGCCTTAAAATTATTAATAATTGAAAATTAATATTTAAAAATATTTAAAATTTTATATAAAAAAAACTTTTAGTAATAAGTAAAAAAAATATCAATACATTGAGCTCTATTCTACATTCCTGTGTGTTGCACAAATATAAAATCTAGTATGTTACAAAATTACTATAATATCATGTGTTTTCTTAATTATGTATATTTATGATATATGTAATCAAGAAATTTAGTTTATGGTGTTTTGTTGTTTTTAACCTTTGTAGGATGGAAGTTAGAGTAAAGATAATTCTAAGCTTAAGTTATAAAGGATATAACTTAAATGTGTGAGAGTTGACACAAGGAGGACTAAGGTGTATAAGATGGATTTTGAGAAAGAAATTTCATAAGTTTATATCTTGAGAAAACTTAGATAGAAGTTAGAGAGAGAGAGAGACTCTAGAGCTAGAAGATTTCTTTCTTCTTCTAATACCACAAATTCCTTCTAGATCCTTCCTATAGTTGAGTGGAGTTGAGAGATTGAAGATTCAAGGCCTTAGGAGCTAAGATTTTGAGTTGAGAGGGAGTTGTACAACAACCTAGAAACTCTTGATTTCTTTCCCTTTTCTTATCTTTAGATGATTTGACGTAAAAGAAGTTTGTTGATTGATATTGTTGGAATATAGATATTGAATTATGTCTGTAATTATACTTTTGGATGGTTGAATTGATTGAAATTGTGATATGAAGAGATTTGGTTATGTGTAGTATATTTGAGGTTGTGTTGAGTAGAAATGGATGATTCTTGAAGTCTAGTAGTTGCATGTAGTGTTTTACATAGAAATTATTGAGTTGTACAAGTTGCATATATTGAAAATGTGATTGCATGTTGGATGGTTTTGAGAAATTGCAAGTTTTAAGCCAATTTGAGGATTCTACTAAGTGCGAAAATCTTTATTACC